CATCCTTTCTAGGCATGGATTAATCCTCCCTCCGTTCAAGATATGTGCCTTTCCCCTTAAAAGTCGAAAATCTAAGCAGAAAGGTGAACCATATAAATCTAGAAGACACGGTACTCCTGGCTGATTGGAAACAGCTCGGAGCGCACACTTTTACCTTAGTTTCAGAATACGTACAAACAACGTATAGGCAATCAACCACACTCGGGCAACTGTCACAATTACAAAATGATAGACAAAACTGCAAAACAACCATTCATCAACGACAACACATCTTGCAATGGCAGTGTTTGCTCGGAAATTATACTTTAATAAGAATGGCGCAATTCTAGATCACCCAGGGGAGGCAGTACTCCTGCCAGAAGTTCACCGAAACACTGGAAGGTCTCACGCACTTCCAGATACATGAAAATAAATGGGCAATTTTAGATCAATCACCAAACTAGTGATCACAAATGATGACAGCTCTTTGCACGATCTTCTCCCTTTTCCCTCCAATCTTCCACCCTTTACTTCTCCGTTTTTCGCCTATTTTATTCAAAAAAAAAGATCTTTTTTCAATAAAAAAACAAGTGGAATTCCGAGCAAACAACGAATAGCTCCAGCACTCTGTTACAATTCCAAAAAATTTGCTTATATTACTGCGAATCAATTCAACAACAATTATTTGCATTTCTTTGTTTATTAAATATCTGTCTCCTCCAACGAAATGAACGAATTTCACAAAGAGACCGATAAAGAGTGGAACAAATGGCCACAACTACATGCCGAATCTTGCCGAAGATCTCACGGAAGCGGGCACTTTTCCAGGTTCCGCTATTCGAGTGGATCCTGCTGGCGAACGCGCTGTTCGCTCGATTCCACTCAGTTCACTGCTTGCCTGTAATGATACATTACATTTTTAATATACCCCTGTCCAAAACAAAATTATCCACCACGGACAATTTTAAATAATATGATAAGCAACAACATGGCACTGATACAGGAATTAACCAGCTGACAAAGATAGTTTCCATTACCAAAAGCCCGGGTTCTCGAATTCCCTCGTTCGGCAAGTCGTCTTTTCACTCTTGTTCAGAGGAAATTTCAAAATTATACCATTAAAAGGCTAAAATAAAGATAAGTCCATTCCACAAATCACTCTCTATGAAAAGCGGAAGCAGTCCAAGCAGTAGAAAATGCCAATAACAACCACTTGTTGGCAGAGCTATTGAACGCTTTCACTTTTGGAGACTGCTTATAGGCAAGTCAAGGGCAATTTTGGCCCCATGGCAAATGCCAGCATCAGTTTACCGCCAACTGTCGTCATTCGTTCGCCCAAACAATCAGGGTACTATTCTGTGTTGCTGGCGCTACTACATAAAAGACGAAAATTCAGTAGCTGATTATTCGATGAATTAATATTTTTTTCACTCACCTGCTTCAGCTCTTCTTCCATGTTACGAGCTTTGCGTATGCTCTGCAGTCTTTTTTCGATTCGAGTTGAACCAGCTTCTTTCAATGAATAAAACATTGGGCCAAGTTCCGCCAACCATGCTGCTTCAACGGAAGTAACGCACTGCATGTACTCCTTCACTGTCATGATCAGTTCATGATACACCACGTAATCTGGCATATATCCCATTCCTACACGAATAAAAAAAAATCCACGTAAAATCTTTTGCATCGTTAGTTAATCAGAAGTCTCAAAAATTCTTGCAATATATTACATTTTGCAAAAACATAGATAATGAACACTAACATACATATAAACAAGCAACTTCTCCATAATTCACCTTCTATACTCGAGCGGTAGCACATGCCGACAGCAACCATCCACAGCAAGGCTGTCAATGATTCCCACTACCAAAACTACGAAGCAAGCAACCTCGGAAGTAAGCTTATGACGAATACGTCCCCTTGACATGCAACGCGATCAAAAAAAATGAGAGAACTGTATAAGAAGCTATTTTACCACTGACAAAGTCGCAACCTCGACCGTCATGTCACTCTGTGACAACCAGTCTATGACTGCTTAAATGCCAGAACAGTATGCTTTTTATGCACAAATAATGGTCAAAACATCCGAAAAAAAGCAGATATTCAAAAAATTAGTCGTTAAAATCGCTACACAGTTCACCTCCTGCGCAAAAA